AAAGCGGAAGTAGCGCAGCCTGAAGATTTCATGCTGTTGATGGAACAGAACTCGGTTGCAAGTAGTGAGAAGAAGCGGATTGCTGTAGGAGTTAAGGCTTGTTGTGGACGTGGAAATATTTTTTTTTAGAAGAAATGTCTGTCTTTAGAAGAAATGGATGTCTACTTGTTGGGAATTTCGTTGGACTTTCAAAGTAAGAGGAAGGCAAACAGATGTTTATCAGTGTAGAAAGATGAGTATCTAGAAGATATGACTAAGTTCTTTTCATAAGATCGGGGTTTAGGTCCAGCGGCGCTCAAAGCACTAAAATAAAACAACCGGTTAGTTTTTAACTCTAGAGGCTTAGCCCTTCCAACAAAACAATAACTAAGTGGTCCTTTTATTTGCCCGTCGCGTTTTGTTTTTTCTTGCGTGCTCGAGTCTCTAAGAAAACCACTGCCCTGCAAGAACACAGGCGAAGCCGCCGTCGGCGCACCGGAACGAAGCGCGTGCAGGACGTGGTTATTTCGGCTTTAATAACAGTGAGGAATCTGAGCGAAGAACGCTACGACTTGGTCACAGCGGACTGGGCACCAGACACTGCGCCACACAATTTGGAGGCTGATTTGCAGATTGCGATCCAAGGGAAGGTGCCAGGAGTCGTGTTCTGCAGTGTGGAGGGAAAGCCGGACACTTCTACAACAGCAGCCCCAAGTGCGGAGCCGACCACTACGTCCACATCAACTAGTACGACTACGACCACAACGTCAAGCACAACTACGACGCAGAAGCCGCCACTGCATTAAGGCAACTGATATCAGATCTCTCATTTTTTATTCCTATAATTTCTTGTCCGTCTCTAACGATTGACAGGGGAACCGAAGGCATTTTCTCGAACGAAAGCCTTGTTTGTACACAGAGTTCCTTCGTTCTCAGTAAATTTCAAGCAAAGCCCATTTCTAATTGCAGCGGAAGCTGCGTCTTCGCCTCGATTCTAGGAAAGCCGTCGCTTTGCTTATCACGGAAGCTAAATTGGCGACAGCAGTACAGAGTGCAGTGATGACACTGTTTACGATCTCGTCGCAGAATATCACAGTTGATATTCAGGTATATGTGTTGGTATATGTGTTGGATGTTACTGTCGCTATTAAAGTTGATGTTTTGGTATAGATCATTTTTTTTTTCTCTGGATTATTTTTCGGTATTGATGTTTGTCCACCAAGAAAACATGGCGTGACGTCAAGCCTGAAATTGCTTCCAGATAGGTGATTATGATATTTCTTGGACAATCTTCCGAAACTTTCACAGAAAATCGAAGACGGGGTTTCATCTGTGGTCTCGAGTACTGCTGCGCCGGCTAGCGGCGTAACGCAACTAGTGGAGAGATTGCGCACTCGGTTTTAAGGCTTCACTTAATCCATCTTCTAGCCCAGCATCTGTGAGCTGTTTTCAAGTAGAAAAACGGAAGCAGATGAGGGAAAAGATGGATTGTAGTGAGTTCTAACGGTATCTGTCGCATATGTTTACCGAAGCAGAAAGAGGCGTCGAAGTGTACGTGATGGCGACGTGCACGTTCCAGATCTCGCAATCATCGAAGGCGATGGAGTTGCTAACGCAGACGTGGAAGCAGGACTCAATTCCAGTTGCTTTGTTACGGAGGTTTGAATGCTCATCACAGTTTTTGAGTATCAAGAGTTGAGTACACGACGGACTCGTGCTTACAATAATTGATAGAAGTAGAACGTGTTTGTTCTATATATCCGCAAAGGTCCAGGCAAGAATTCACCGAAGCATCTGCGAAGATGCTTAGTAACTTGGTGTTATTTGGCTTTAATAGAAGTAATTATATGTAACTTGGTATATTATATATGATTTGATGGCTTGAAAGATGCTTAGTAACTTGGTATCTGTAGAATGTGAATGACATGATCAACAAGAGAAGTCTCACTGTGTAACTCTGAGAAAAGAGCTGCAACAACCACGCCTAACGAAGTATCTTCGGTGCATTAAGATGAAACTTCGAATATCTTCTTCACTGCACCCTTGGAAGATACCTTCGGTAAAACAACTTCTAATATCCAAGGGTGCAGTGAAGAATGCTATTAACGACGAGTCAGATTCGATCGGAGCGAGCTGTATTAGTGTCCGTGGCGAACTGGAGAATGCACCGGTGACGACGACTAGTACTATTATGGAGGGCTGTTCGAGACTCGCAATAGGATAGGGTCTACAAAAATACGATAAGTTCGAGACGAAGGTGTAGAAGAGCTTAGAGACAGGATTACTCTTCCAGAAAAGTGAGTAGGTCATTTCAAACAACACACTGCAGGCAATTTTTGAGTTAAGACGACGAACAGCGAGCTTGATACAGTAGTACCTTATTTGTTCTAATCGTACCACAGAAGCTCCTGCGCCCGATGAAGAGACAACTACCGGCACAAGCACAGAGCCCAGCACGAGCTCGACGTCTACCACCGTGCCACCGCCTGTTGCAATGATCCGCAAGTTTGCATTGGAGCTGGCTACCTCGACGACGGCGAAAAACATCATCAAAATCCTAGGTGGCGAAATAGTGGGAAAAATCGAAGGCGCAACCGACAGCTTCTATAAAAGCAGCTTGGGTGAGGGGGCCGTGTCCAGCGTGAAGGCGATAGTATCGATTCCGTCGGAAGTGGCAAGTGATCTTGGTGCATCGAAATTGATCGCGGTAGCGGTTAATGTAACAGCACCAGCGACCTTGAGCTTATGAAGAAGATTCATTTGTACGGGAATATGTGCCTCAACAACTTCTACACTTGCCTGTAGCTGTTGTACTCTCCAGATCCTATCCTATTCTTCTATCGTATCCTCTGTGAGTGGTGCGAGGAACAATATTAACATTGACGTGGTCTTGAAAAATACAAACAGTCTAGTGTTCTCAGTCCTTAGTTACATTCATTTTGATTAGTGATTGCCAGCGCTGAATGCTTTCATTCCTCGACACCCTCGAGCTCCAGTGGGATGAGGAGAATGCGCCAGAAGAGCTGCTTTCAAGAATTTGTGAGAACGTCATCGCCCTCGAAACTATCACGGGCTGTCAGGGTAAGCCGCCAGAGGCGTTGACACCAGCTCCGACTACGTCGACCACGACCACCACAATTTTTTCCACGGATCTCGAGAAAAATACCACCACAACAAACGCGCCACCATTGCCGCAACTTGACCGGGAAATCAATCTAGTGGTGGAAACAACTATGAATGAGCGAGATATAGTCAAAGATCAACGCTTGGCGGATGCGATCGCAAACGCGACGGCGGGTACGTACAAGTACGTCAATCTGCCGATCACAGCGATTCAACCGACACTGTTTTTGCTGGAGGTGATTTTTATCGCTGAGATATATTGCACACCTATGTATATGTTTTTCTTATGAATGTTGATTTACTGAAATTACACCATTCAGAATGACGAACCTTCCACTTCCACTTCCCACGAAACTGCACAGGGCTTAACGAGTAACAGCACTCTTCTCGAGTTGAGTTCACAGTCGCTGCTCCTGATTCGCAGAATAGAGGCAATCGCGAAACGATTGGGGAGGGTAGAAGCCAAAATACTTTATGATCATACTTACACTGGCTAGTATCAGCACTTTGGGTTTTGTATAGTCGAAGGCAGTTGTACTAGGGAGCGAGTCTAAAAGATTTCAACTTCTGAATATACATAGTCAAGGCTTGACGTTAGTAATTCGAACATTTTTTATACCGAGGACCCTCTTCGTCCTCTAACTCTCGGTCAGAATGACTATTGTGTGTGAGAACGAGGAGCAGAGGAACGCTATTGAAGCCGACTGGCCAGCAACTGCTCCAACACCACCTGATAGCTTCTCTGGTTTACTAGAAGTCCAGATCGAGCGGGTATTCGGAGATGCAAAAGAGGTGACGGATATCCAAGTGCTGTCGAAGTCGGATATCTTGAAAACCACCACGTCGACAAGTACTTCAACGACCACGTCGACGGAGACTAGTACAAGTTCAACTACGACGCCAGGGACACTAGCGCCAACGACCGAAACAACGACGACGGAAACGGAAACTAGCACTTATGATGGGAAACTATCGGGTAATTCCAGTCGAGAGGAGCTTTCGACGACATTAGAAATTGTACAGATTGATTAGGAATCAATGAAGGAGCCTCATAGAAGTGAGGTACTCATTGAGGCGAATTGTGCATTCTAGAATCTAAATCCCGGCTACAATTACGACGACGGAGACAGTGACCACAACAGACACTGTGACAACGACAGCGACTGAGACGACAACGTCGACGATGACAATCACTTTGACTATGACGAAGACGACGACTGAGACGTCAACATCAACGTTCACTCGCACAACTACAGGGACAGAAACTAGTACAACCACGACGACGTCCACGACAAGCACAACCTTGACGACCAGCAGCACGAGCAGCACGACCACCACTGAGACCGAGACGACCACTTCCTCTACGACAACCACGAAAACGGCCACTGTCACGAGCACCACAACGTCTACTACAACTATCACGGTCACGAACACAACAACGCAGACGTCGACCACCACGACTACGTTACCGCCAAAAGGTAGTGCGATTATCATGGTTTCGACCACTAGTACATCGACGACTACGATCCCGCCACCACCTCCGACCACTGGTGCTGGGACTCTACCGCCTCTGTCGCAAGCAACCGAGTCGTCCTCTTCATCCGCTGCACCTGGTGGAGGCGGAGGAGCGGTTTTGGCCGCAGGAAAAGCACAGAAACAAGAAGTGGACTCCTCTTTGCAGCTTAAATTAAGGTCAGCTTTTTTCCATCTTTCTCAGCATCTCGATACCAATTTCCCGCGTATTTCATGGGAGAGGGGTCGAGATGAGGAGACCGCGATGGATAGCGGCTGGCTTTAATTAATGACTCCGATACATCGCTCCAACAGTCACCAGAAGTGAGTACATCAAAGCGCTTGATGGCAAAAGTAACCACTTCATTGGCGGAACTCTCTAGAATTTTGGATTTTTCGCGAGCAGCAGCACCAAAGGGCATCAGTTTGAACTTGATGGAAGCCAGGAGGATTGAGGAGAGCAAACCAGAGGATAGAGTTGTTGGGAAGACGAAAGCAGATACTGCAGTTGCGACAGGAACACCAGACTCATCTTCAATAAAGCCTCATCAGGATGACGTAATCGATCATGACGACTTGTTTGCGTCCTATTTGCACCGTCTCAACCAGCACGACGCACCGCCAGAGCGTCCTTCTAGTACACTTGTTTCGAGCCCCACTTTATTAAGCTCAAGAGTACAAGAACTTCCCGGTCCCGAACATCACGGAGACAACCACCTTCACGATCATTGGGCAGACCACATGCATGAGCCTTCACCCGATCCGTTCGGCCTGCGTCGTGGTGTGAGTTTTGCCCAAGTATTGGCTGAATCTGTGCAGGAGCCGATAACACTAGCAGCTACTAGCTTGACGTATTCGGGACATAAGATTTGTACTGTCGCGGCGCCGCCCCATTTATTGGGGTATGGGCTGCTGTCGAGTAGCAGAGAATGTGTGCCTTCACCGAACACAGCCGCTCAAACTTGGAAAGTATCAGAGCCGCTGTCTCAAGTTAAGGGGAAAAAAATTTCATGCAGTCAGTGAAGAGTGGTCTTCATACTGTATAGATGAGGAACTGCAACGACGTCAGTCAAGGTTGAGGTTTATTAGGTCCAGCGGCGCTCAATAAAGCACTAATTAACTCAACCGGCTAGTTTTGTCCTCTAGAGATGTAGCCCTTCCAGCAAACTATATACTTATGCAAACCCCCCATGCTCTTCTAAGGACCGGCAACCATCGACGTGTGCGGATAGGTGCGATAGATTGAGGTGGTGCCGATATTTTGTGGCCGTCAAGGGAGAACAGTGCAAGCTCTTTGAGGACTGCCAGGACACGATGGCAGCTCTCAACACGGTCCTCGAAACAACTACATACCAAAAGAGACCACGTACTTGTTATTGTAGACTTGCTTTTTCGACCTAGAAGTTGTAGTTTTGCTCACCACGGTAATTGACTTTGATTGTTCATCGTAATCATGAGATTCGTTCTTTAGAATCTCTCTTCTAGTACAACATCTACTACGTTCTTTGGCACAATCAATACCACCCAGTGACCGACGTGACCGGTTACGAACTGTATACGGACAAGCTTATGCGTGCCGATATATGTGCCAAGATTAACGAGGACACCGATCCCGGTTTCAAGGAGGCCACTAATCTCTTAGGCCGCATGGAGAAGCGTGGTAGTGCAACTGTATGTGGTGAAACTTATGGATGATGTTTTTTCTCCCATCTTTAACAACAGACCATGATCTTCTGGGCTGCCCCTTTTCCCCTTGATGCAAGTCGTATCTGGGTTAAAACGGAGGAGCTTCGATGGTCCTCTCTGCATCTATAGTAGACCTAGATCTCTGCATCTTCTATAGTAGACCTAAATAAAACAAAACGAGTAAGAGCAGCCGCGCCATTCTTCATAAAAGTTGCAACGCACTTGCGAACTGCGGGTTTTTTGCGACGACACCTAGCGGAGATTGCCATCTATTCGCGGAATGCCCGCGATTGGAGACCTACGATAGCCAGAAGAAGTTGAGAGACGCTGGCGGAGTGGCGGTGTTCAGGAAGGAACTACGTAATTACTTAATTGAACCGTGTGGTGTTGGCTCATAGAAATACTGAAAAATGGAGGAAATACTGACTTTAGTTTTCACCTTGATCACATTAGTTTAGTAGGCCTATCCCGTGCAACGAAATACTGACTTTGAAAAGAATGGAGCTAATGAAAAGTCCGGGGGGAGCTTCTAGTACAACATCTACTACTTTCTTATTTGGCACAATCAATATTTCATAGAAATACTGACTTTGTTGAAAATAAGTGCTAGGTAAAAAATCTCATAATTCACTTGGCACGGAAATTGGAGGTGCAGCTTTGGTAGTTTTTGTTGTTGATGACTCTCATGATGACTTTGTTCTTGTACAGGAGTGGATGTAGTTCCACCAAAATTTCAGGCCCGGACGGACCAATCGCTTGTGGCTTGAGTGACTATTTTCTAGCAGCGAAAGAGCAGGCGGCTTGTCCTGTGGGGAGCTCTCGGTATCCAGCGAACTCGCCTGAAGAGTGCATGCAGATTTGGACGAAGATGTGCTCAGATAGCGTCAAAAGGCAAGTCTGGAACGTGCCTCGAGCGTTCCAAGAAATCGATAGTCAGGCTTCTCCAGGTGGCTGTGTCGCGCAGTTGAAGAGCGAAATATCACAGGGCATTTTCAACAAGCAGCCAGTGCAGGAGAGCAGTTCCTTAGGAGTGAATGTTACGACACTGGTCTTGAAGTCGTGTTAATAAGAAAACATCTATTACTTCTGCTGCGAGCTTGGAGTTTTTATTTGACCTCATGCTTATTTCTGTCATTTCTCAACCTCAAGCTCCAACCATCTTGATCGACGTCTAACAGAAATCGTTTGATCTGTTCTCGGGTTCCTACTGAGCCCATTTCTTGCGGTGATTCTGGCTATAGGATCGCTGCTTCAATGAGTGGACAATGCCCTGATGGCTCACGACCAGTGGCGGTAAAAGAGGCTGAAGACTGCGAACGGATTTGGATGCGATACTGTAAGCCGGCTATTAGCAAGTTGGTAGCCGATCCTACAGCTGACATGCCGTTCAAGAGCGTAGGAGATGCAACAATGCCACCTGGTTGCTCAGTCTCTCTAGATCCTCTAGAGAAGTTTGGAGCATACAATACGCGCGGCGCCTTCGAAAACGGAGCAGCCAAGATCAATAGTCCGGCTTATCGTCTTGTATGCACGAGCATGACACTTGGGAAAGTGCGCTGTGGAGGGTCCTCTTATGCTGGGCATAGTTCGCAGACCTAAAAACTGTTGTAAGTTGTAAGCATGAATGACGAAGACAAGTGATGACTTGTTTGTTTTTCCTCGTCATATAATCTATCTTGTGAGAGGTAGTTACTGGAAGTTGTTCAGACAGAAATTTTATCATATCATCTTTCGTCCACTCTAACCTCCCTTCTACCTGCCTCCCGCACAGGAAACAACTTGTGGAGCCAATGGTTCTCGCTACAGGACGACCAGTAATGCGCAATGTAAGAAAATTTGGGACGACTTCTGTGGTAGCGCACTACTGGCGAAGATGCCTGGGAGGTCGATGAGCTATATCGGAGACATCTCGGACAACGGCGCACCTCCAGGGTGCACTGCTCGAGTTGGAAATGATAACAGCGTGCAAGGCCTGTTCAACACAGCTCCAGGAGTTATGAGAAAGGACCGAGTTCTTGTAGTGGCTGGCACTTCGACTTCTTGCTATCGGGAATATCGTCAGTCTCTTCAAGGTTCAATCTGTTTTTTTTCTCTTCAAGGTTCAATCTGTTTTCCTCCCTACTCACACAACGCTTAGCACTTCCGACGTGGAACAAAATTCCCTGAAGAGAAGAAGATGAAGCACACCAATGCGAGGAACAGACAACAGTGAACATCCACCTTTCATCTCCACAAATGCTGCTGCCGCGATTGCGATTACTAATGAGCAGGATAGGATCATTTGTACTGAGGGACCTCCAAGCGACGCGATTCCTTGCAGCGAGAGCGACACAGAGGAAGTAGATGCCTCAATTATGGTCTCGCAAAATCACTGGTTCCACTCTCTTTCATCGTAGGAACAAATCAGACGCACCATGTCTACTTGGAAGGGCCGCCTTGTGAGTTGTTTTTTGAATTCGACCAGATCCTTAACCAAAGCATCTTTCTAACGAAAGGTATTTCGTTGCACCGACTGGCTCTACTGTTTGCCCGAGTGACAGTGTTACTTTGGCTTTCCCGCTTCCAGGTGATGCAGACAATGCGGCTCTGTGTTATGAAGACGGGGTTATTGTCATACGGAGTTTTTTTCTTTTTGTTTTGTTGAGTTACCACCAGTATAGAATTCTCACCTAGATGAAGATAGAAGGTGCTGATCTACTTCTTGATCCCTCTTGTTAAAAGTCTAAAGGCTGTCATCAACTTCTTTTACTCATCTAATCCTCTCGCGATATTTCCGCGAGACAATGCGCGCCAGCGTTGCGCAGGGCCCTCCCGGAATACAACGTGGACTTTTCTGTGGTCAATGACGCACCGCTCAGTTACACGGGTTGCTTCGCGAGTACACGCAGTGGTGGAATCACTATCACATACTTAAGGGACTGGACTCTTCAAGTTGCATTAGATTAGAAGATCAAAATGGTAGTGGAGGCCACATAGTTTGACAAGACAGCTTTTTAGTGCCCTTTACACATTTTTGGTACACATTTTTCATTGATACACATTTATATAAGTAGACTATTGGTGCAGCTGTTTCATCTTAAAAATCTTCTGTAATTTGTTTCCCTGATTTGATGCCTCTCTTCATCTCCCAATGGTTTCGGCTCCACCAAGCCTACCAAAAGTGCTGGTGATCGTATGCTCTGCGATCGACTAGGTGGATTCGTAGAGGCTGGCACTGGTCTCTGTGCCGTAGGTGGCTTTTCTGATGCGGGCGTTGAAGGTCGCGACTCTGCAGCAAAATGTGCTGCCTTCTGTAGGAGCAATTCAAATTGCAAATACTTCTCGGTGAAGCCAGGTGGCGACTGCGTGGTGTTTGATAAGAGTGCGGGGTTGTGTAAGCAAGAAGATGCGACGGCAAACGCAGACTACAAAAGATATATGAAGCTCGCTGGTACAACTGAATGACATTTTTATTTCAATGTCCTGGCCATTGATGTGTATTCTTACAGGATTCTAGTGCAACATGGTGGAATGACATTTTTGATTACGACTTCTAAATGGAAAACTATCACCAGCACAACTGTCTACTTCTCTTTATCTACGACCTTTATTTTTTCCGGAGGACTATCTGCTTCTTCATCCAGGTGAAGAGCGACTCAAAAACGCAACGATGGCTTTGGATATGTCGAGCACATTTGAGGATGTCGACGTTTCTGACATGGCCGACTACCCTCTAGCACATTTAACCAAAAGCGAAGCTGCCGTACTTGACTGGAGCGGGGGACAGTGCGCTGCAACCGGGAATGAGGTCGCAGGCGATAACTGGTGGAGCGCGGACTTCGTTAACCCCACGACTCAAGATGCTAATGCCCGCTTTATCACGAAGATACTACTGTGGACACGAAGGGATGCTGAGAGCGATAACATGAATATTAAAGCACCTAGTTGGTTCTGAGTGGTAGACTTTGACTTGGTAGAAGATATTCAGGTTGAGGAGTGCCAATAGATGTAGTTTTCAGGACAAGGGAACAACAGCATACACTAATCACCTGACAGGAAATGAGGCAAATAACTGCTGCACTCACTTAGTCTTTTTACTCCTGGTAACTGCTCTTACTGAGTTCGTGGCACAAGGGAGCTATGTATGATTTAAGTATTAGAGTTACTTATGATTGTTTTGTATTTTTGTTTCCTAGTTAGGTGTGCTCCACCTAGACTATTAAGGTAGAAGTGCTGCCCGCTCTCAAATGAGTCTTAAGTTTGAAGTGCCCCACCTATTACTTAAGTTAGAACAAGTGCCCTCCTGCTTCGTAGTAGTGCTGCGTCTAACTCGGAAGCCATCGTCGAAATTCGTGAGTCTGCGGATCCAACTGAAGGGTATGCAGTCCTAAAGGAGGACTTGCCTGGTGGTGCTAGTGTGGACCCTGCGTTCGGCACTATCGTGGAGCTGAACCGTTGGGCCTACGGAGTAAGAATCCGTGTACAGGACGCGAGACTCTACATCTGCGGACTACATATCTTTGCGGAACCTGCTGGTACTACATATCTTTGCAGCTCCTGCTGCGCAGCAATTATATTCATTATATTATATTTATTAGATTTCTATAGTATAGAAGAACGAGGAGCTCAAGAGCAATTTTTAGACAAGCGAACCGAATCTACCACTCTTTCCCATGATTGACAGACTGCTCTCCAGACTACTTTTCTAATCAAATATTACCAGGTGTCGGTGGTCGTGCTGCTGTGACTACACTCACACAGTCGCAAGCTAATGCGACGAACGCGACCATGATGCTCGGTGAAATGGCTGCTCAAGAAGATTCAGCGGCAATGACGCCAGAACAATGGTACCTTGCGCAACAGCAGATGGCGCAGCAACAATACATGCAACATTATGAGAAGTTTGGATAGGTCGTTATCTTTATAGAGTGGAGGAGTCTTGTTCATAGAATTTAGAGTTTCTAGAGAATGAAAAATCGTTACACATCAAGGTTGCCACCTTCTCTAACTTTTGCAACAGTACCTTGCGGCTCAACAGCAACAACAGTACGAGCAGTACATGCAACAGCAGTACATGCAGCAGCCATATGCTAGCCCGGAGCCAACGCAGCAACTCACAGCTCAGAAACAGCAGTTAGTAGATCCAACCACAGCACAACAATACATGCAGCAGCAGTCTCAGCTACCACAACAGCAGTATTTTGGAGGATCACAGCAGCTAGGATCACAGCAGCTAGGTGTAGGATCGCTTCCTCAGCAGCAATATGTGCCTCAGCAGCAAGCAGGTATCGTGCAGCAGCCTGAACAAGCTGTCTCCAACATTAAGGCTACCGCTGACGCATCCCCCTGCATCATGATCCTTGGCTTCTTTTTCAAGGGGAAAAAGGGCTCAGGGATGGGCTCAATGATGCGACGTGGTAGCTCTAAGTTTATGCTCGTCAATTCATACGCACCACAGTCGTCTCCTGCTGTGCAACCGTCTTCGCCGATTTCCCAACCGCTAGCGTCTCCTACACAAGCTATGAGCGCCCCCAAATCCTCGGGAGGAAGCAAGGAAGCTCAATCAGCATCTCTATTGCACACGTCACAAACAGCGGAGACGTCACAAGAAGCTGAGGAGCAAGCGTGGGAAGGTATTCGCGTATTTTTGAGTAGGAAAGAAGTTTGCATCACATTCAATAGGCCCACACTTATTTGGGAGGACTTCATACTAAGAAACGAAGAAGATCTAGACCCTTGATTCTTTTACAAGTCCTAATCAATAGTAATTTCTGTGACATATTATATATCATTACAACTAAGCTAAGTAGCCTCCTCCCGTAGCAGGATCTTGTTATAAGATTTTGCCCTTTCTCAGAGGTGTGCTGCAAATCTAGACTGCCTTCTTCCTTTTCATAAGGTTGGGGCTTAGGTCCAGCGGGGCTCAAAGCACTGAAATAAAACAAACCACCGGTTAGCTTTTACCTCTATAGGCTTAGCCCTTCAAACAATACATCATATCATTACAACTATTCTACAGGCCGGTAGGTGCAGCAAACTATTTAGGATGCACAGAATAGAATAGTTGAACAGCTAGATTCTCGCGCACGGTCATGCTGTTCCTTGTCTCCTACTTCAAGTCCAGGGTTAGTAGTGTTGTGCCTCACTTCATCATTACAGCTATCCGCTTTTTTCACTATATCCACAGGCGGAGGCGAAAGCGAGCTTCCTAGTCACGCTTTGACGCTCTCATCATCTTCAGGGTTTAGGTCAACTACTTCGGGGGGCGAAATAAGCAACGTCAGCTTCAGCTTCATACAAGAAAAGCAGACTCCCGAAGCATCTGCGTCCTCGAATCCAGTTACACCGTTATCAAAAGCGGAAGTAGATAAATTAAGGGTAGGTTAAAGATGTTCTTGGTGCCGTTCGTTTTGCCTCTCCTAAGGGGGAAAGGCAGAACGAACGGGGTAAACGAACACCGAAGACCTACCTCTAAATAAAGGCTGCCTCGAGCAGGCCGATCCAAATGCAGAGTCCTTTTCTGCGACGATAGAAGGACCTAAGCGCTTTGTCAGTCGTCTCAAAGTGAGGAACCGCGTTGAAAATCCAGAATACTTGAACTCCGCACAGCTGTTTGTAGACGGCAAGCTTGAAGCGGCCTGGCAAGGCGCATCATCGAAGGGGACGTTTGGTATGGCTTGCCTTGTTTTGAGTAAATATGAGGATGAGAGGACACATTATTTATATTTATTGAGAGACGATCAATCTGAATTTAGAAATCATTAGTCCTGCTACTTCTGATTTCGTCGCTTCAGTAAAACCGCTTTCCATTCTTCTAACTCCTTCCCCATCGAGCGAGAGGCGTCAACTTTCGAATTCAGAAGTGCGAAAAAGGGGACACCAGTCAACATATGTAGCGTGAAGCCATACGTGAGTGCGCCACGTTATCGCGGAGTAGGTTGCTTTTCCGATTTTTTCACTGGAACGCAGAGATCATTGCCGGTGTCGAAGTTATGGACAGATGCAGATGCAGTTTTATCTATTCACTGTATCCTCTGAGTAACCTTAGTACGTAAAAATTCTTCTCTGCTACCACAAAAGCATCTTTCTAACAAAAGGCAGACAAGTGAAAGTCGAAACCTGCGCGCTTCTGTGTCACGGGCCTCAAGACGACCTTCCGGAGTACGAGTTCTTTGGGTTACAAAACGGTGGCGATTGCTATTGCGGTAGTCTAGCACCTTCTAGTCGGGTTACTGCCGGATTTTGTAATAAACCATGTGCTCCTGCCGATCAGAATTCTGCCGACGCGGCTACAGGTGTCAAGAAAGGAGTGGGGAGTGATCAGATTTATGGCTAGAAAATGGAAATTGATGAGTGGAGGTCTGACTCTTGTTTGGTTGTAATTATATTATAACTGTCGACGTCACATCTCTATGTTTATCTCTTGGAGGAGATAAAAGTCTGAGTGTCCTCTTTTCTCTGAGTGATGTTTTCTGATTGATATTTACCTTTTAGATATTAGTGTAGTTTATTTCCAAAATTAATACTAGGTTATATTTCTTACAACTAGAAGAAGTACAATCTCTAACTCTCGGTGGCCCTAGCAACCGGTGCATCGATGGCGCCTTGCGGAGGCGATATGCATAGTAGTCTCTATCAAATTGCCTTACCCAGACGTGCGCGTGAAGCTTTAGCGCCAGAAAAAGATATAGATACGCTGCAAACACGACGTGGAACGTTAAGAAAAGTCGTGCGCAATTTGCAGCGACAGCTGAGTCTAACCGGTGGCCAGAAAATGGAGAACTCAGACGACGTGGCAACGGAGCGGAGAGAAGCGTACTTTTATGGTGGGGGTTTCTGAACATTGGTTTTTAGTTTTAGAATCAAGCATGTGTTGAATGTCTTCCGCTAGCGGTGGAAGAATTATCAATCGTTTGTTGAAAGTCTGACGTAGGATATTGCTAAAAACTTCTTTGCAGATCTTGAATTTAGTCATCTGGCACTTCTAACAAGGACCAACGGCACCAGTGGAGGGACCGAAGTATCTGCCGGGATACAACACCGATAGTTAGAGACGTGAGCTTTTTTCTAGGGGATGCTAGCTAAGCGTAAGGAATTGGAGAGTTTAGTTTTATATATGAAGATCACAAGTTGTATTTGGTTTGTGAAGAGATCAAAAAGATTCTGACTCATTTAGACTACAGCAACATCAACAACATTATAGCAACATTTTGATCAAGCAGATGACAAGGCTTAAGTTTATTTCCAGTGAATTCAACGATCCTTACTTCTAGTTTTAGCCCACCAGTGCTGGTTGTAGCCATTCGACTACTACTGACCGTAGCCAGGATGACACAAATGACTTCCCAACCATTCAACATAAATTGTTCTCTGCAGTTATTAAGGGGCAGTGAGATAAAAACAAGGAAGATGGGCAAGAAAAAAAGAGAAATAGTCACTACGAGTTTCGACTAGAAGCTGAGTATTGTTTTTGTTTCGTTTTGCGGATTATTTGTACTCCCGAAGCTGTTGCTTTCCATTCAGATGAGCGGGGGGCAGCGTAACCGTTCGTAAGGATTTACTATTGTCAGTTCACAACTAGATGTGAACTGTGATATTTGCCATTACAGACGGTCGGATCGACAGGAGCTGTCCGTATTTTTCGGTTTCTTAAGGTTAGGATTTCGACAGTGTATTATGTTTTTTCTCTCAGTCAATACGAATCGTTAGCGTTTCATCGTCCTTGTCTTTCCAGTGATACACGACCTAGGTTTTTAGGTAAGAACTAAGGATCCTACAAATTTAGCAAACGTTTATTTCCAGTTTGAGTTTGAGACCTAACAATAAACTTCCAGATGAGTTTGTTGAGTTTTACAGCGAAGAAGATTTTCTTCTGGGTAAAGTTAAGGAGGCCTGTAGTGAGTATGCGATTGTTGTGTTCCAAGAACGCTAGCCATATGATCTCTCCATTCGTTGGGTTTCACACGAACACGCACAAAAAAATGAAACACTAGTACAGCAAGAACTTCTCCTGAAGAAGTGCGACGTCCTCGCCGGTATCAATGTCACAATAGCAACTCCTTGGTGACCGCGTTACAATAATTTCTTTTAGGCTTAGATCTGTTTGCACAGTGATAATCAGCAACATGAACTGAGCCCAGTTATTTTCGCAGAAAAATATTTAGTGTATAGGAGCATGTGCCAGAGAGTTGTTGCGCATACCAATATAGACCACCTTTATCGTGTTGCATAGACATAACAACGATTCATCAGTCGTAAAACAGTAACACATCAAGAATGCATGGAGTTGCGTAGGCGAAATTGTATAGTCGAAGGTTCGCTCGTCGCTCTCGCATCATATTACAGTATGTAACCACGTGCAACGAAGAACTTAGAGATAGTGTTATACAGTCAGAGACTGTAGTGGATGGTAATTGATGATTGGTAGTCCCGCTCCTGTGGCTGCGGACGTTCGCCTGAGAATGCAGGCCAAACTGTGGCCGGCGGACAAATTCCTATGCTATCCTACCATATTCACATACTTCATAGTCTTTTTCTTGTCCTGTTGCTAGAGCATGGGGTTCGTGTGATGGCGAGCCTCATCTGACGTCGCGGCGGACATATGCCCAGAAGTTCCGCTGCGCATCCGAAGCCGTTGCGCTTGAAACTATAAAAACCCGCTAGGTGGTTGAATACTGCCCATTGGCTTAATGTTGGCCTTCGTGCTTAGAAGTAATCGTTTGCGTAGTTCTAGCGCCTGGCCGTTGTGCTTCAGGCTCCCTGCGGGGTAATTGAGTGGAACTATTGCGGGAAATTGTAGACCCAGGCACGTGAATGAGTGACGTACTCCGTGGCCTTTCTCTTGTTCTGCTGCTAGAACGCATGTTGCTACTATCCTGGGAGAAAGTGACTATCATCCGGGGTCGAGAACAAGACCACCTCCCTGCACAGATTAATGCATATAGAGTGCGGCCATGTAAGGTCGAGAAGTAGCGGCAAGCAGTAAAAAAAGTACAAGCATGGGACGACCCACTGCCGCGGAAGGGGATGTTTACTAAGGACCACGACCCTACTTCCCTAGGGTTTATTCCTATTGTCCGCCTCTTTCGACATATGTTGTGTTCCTGCTGCAGAGACGTTATATTAGTGTGGATGTAGGCAATAAAAAGCGACGCTGTGCTGGCGCTTCTAGATCACGGACAAAATCTGAGGCGAACGATCAAGTAACCTTCGAAGAGATCTAGAAGCTGTCGAGAGAAAGAGAGCAACATTGATGCGCGCAAAGGATCGTTTGCATTCCTTATTCTCTTCTCCAATATATTCACACTTATCTCTCAAGAGCCTGGCGCAACATCAGGGTCAGCCATGGCCAGCCTGCTAGCTAAGGCATAGCGTAGCCAGCTTCCCTTGCTAGCTCAGCCGCAGTCAGCTTGCTTTGCTAGCTTAGCCGAAGCCTTCATCTGCCTGGCCTTGCTGGATTACCTCAGCCGTAACCAGCTTGCCTCGCTAGCTTAGCCATGGCCAGCTTGTCTCGCTAGATTGTATCCGACAGCCGTAACTGCCTTGCCTTGCTTTGCTAGCTCAGCCATGGCCAGCCTGCCTCGCTAGCTTTGCCATATGAATAAGCCATAGGGATAGCCAGATTGCCTCGCTATGTTCGCCTTCTCCGGCTTGCTTGCTTGCTTAAGTAACCACTTCCACAACCAGGCAGCTAGCTTAGCCATGACAAGCTTGCTAGCCCAATCGTGGCCAGCTTGCCAGCTTAGCCATAGCCAGGGCGCTGGCTTAGCCATCAGCGGCACGAGCTTGCTAGCTTTTCCATCACCAGCTTGCTAGCTTAGCCAGGGCCACAGTGCTAGCTTAGCCACAGTCAGCGCGCTAGCTTAGGCATAGCGGTAGCCAGCTTAGTAGCGTAGCCACAGCGACAGCCAGCACGCCAGTCCTTCTAGCCCTGGACAGCGGACCTAGCGACTTTGTTCGTTTGTAGATCTCGTCTGTCTAGTTTCTAACCTATGCCCAGTTGGCCGTGATTTGGATCCACCGTTGGGGAGGTTGGTTGAGGATCTGGCGCAAGTGGTCCTCATCATCTGGAGAGAAAATGGTTCTTCTTTCGTACATAGACATAAAGAAGTGCATCTACTATCAAACTTCTTTCATAATTCTACTAGTTTTCTGCAAGAACAGCTTGGTCTTGTTTTTGATCCTAAAGCGCACACACGCTTTGTTTTCTGCAAGAACAACATTCATAACGACTCCATCAGTCACATATTTCAATCAGGAACAATCAATGGAACACGAGCGACAATATGAAGTAAGATTGCGGGAGTAACTCCAGTTCTCTAGGTTCTACGGGAGTTGTCCCATGTGGATGAGTCCCGACTGCCGAAATCGACGAAGATGACACGACGAGTACGGAAGAGAAGAAAGGGTCGTCAGCGACCGGAGGGTGGTCGGCGACCAGGGGAAGCGGAAGTTGGAGCGACAGCACATCTACAGGAGCCACAGGTCGCCAAAAAAGGTGACCGTGGCCACAAGGTGGGCTTGACGATGGCTGCGATATTCTGGATAACCGCTGGTTTGGTCATCCACCGCTCTTTTGCGCGCGAAATGCCAAATACAGCTGCGAAGAAATCGTCCGTCAACGGAGCATTGGGGAGCCCTTTATGAATGATAGATTATCTACTTTTTCTTTTTCCGGTTGTTGTTTTTTCTAATGAGGAGAGGCTATACCACCATGAAGACGCAGCGTTGACTTTAGGATAGGAAGATCTAGGAGATACACTGTATTTACTAGTTCACTAGCCATTCATCACTGATATCCCGTGCCTCGTCATACAATTGTAGAAGGGGGAGATATTCTTGTTGTAGCTAGTGTTGAAGTCCTTTGCTTTCATATTGTACAACCACGGCATTCGATTCTACTCAAAACGAAGCAGGCCTTTTCGATGAGTCCGAGGGCTCGGCATTCGATATTGTTGGCGAGGAAGAGGACGACGACATGGGTCGCCCGGAGGACGCTAGTAAAACGTCTAGAACAAGAAGGGGCAGTGCCCATGATGTTCTCCTTGACGACAGTGTCAGCAAGACAGCTGGGGCAACTTCAACAGTAGTCGGGCGAAGTACTACCCACTTTTTTGAGGATCTTCATAGTGTCAAAAATGATGGTAGAACAAGTACGACTAAACGTACAAGCTCCAACGCTGCGAAGGAAGCCAACGTAGAGGAACCCGACGCTGGTATCAAACATGATGATGCCACAGAGGAAAGCAGTGGTCTTTTTGACGAAGCTGGAGAACAACCTGATCACGGTGAAGAAGAATTTGATCACGGTCACGACGATTTTCTCTATTTGAGGACCCTGATACTTATGAAACGAACACACTAATCAACTTAAGTATCAAAGAGCCACAATGATACCTTAAAATGAATTTTCTTGGTATGTAAGATGATAACACAACCTAATAATCAACTTACGTAAGTACAAGTAGCTTCCTAGTACCCTGCCGATGAAGATAATCCTCCTAGTACTTCTTGCTCATCTGGTTTCCTGAGAGGGCATTCACAATAGAGGGCATTCATAACAGAGGACATTCAGAATAGAGGACATTCACAGAAGAGGACATTCTGAATGTCTTGCACAAGAAGCATCATAACAGATGAAACAGAAGCGGAGGGGTAAAGATCTGCGAGATGTTGGTAGAGCTACCGCGGTCGCATCTTCCTTGCGATGCATATCCTTGGGTGCTTCTTATTTTTCAAGTAGAAAGAGAAAAACCTAATCAACTTGGGTAAGTACAAGTAGCTTCCTCTTCATACTAGCGGAAAAAATCACACTAGCGGACAACAGGACTGTCACAATTGATGACGTGATACGACATAAATTGGCGCTCTGGGGTCCGGCTTCGGAGTGGTACGACCACGGAATCGAAGCCTACATGCAGAACATATCTTATGGCTGGTTTCACGTGATGATGAATTTCTATATCTTCACTTAAAGAACGGAGGTCGGAAGAGTAAGAATACTTTTGGAGGAGTAAGTAACTACTCCGGTTCGTAGTTCAAATGATTACTTCAAGCACGACAAGGTCAAGGGGTTCGTAGTTCAATTGACATCTATTTTTTTTTGTTTGAAGAGATAGAAAAATCTTGGTCTTCGTCGGTTCAAAACACTACTTAGAGAGGTATTTTGCTTCGTTTGGTGCCTTTTTTCTAAATGGAATGAAAGAGAAGCACCTCTAGCATGAAGAAAGGCGTTCAAAGTCTTCTAACGTGTACATGAAGAGCACACGAAAGCCTGGGAGCGGGTGCTTCCTTCTGCGAGAATTAAGGTGACAACGTATTTTTTTTGTAAGGATGGATCATTTGTACTAGATTTGCTTTAATTTTGAATGATGAACGACGATGAATATAGTCATAGACTATAAGTACAAGAAAGGAAGGACAAGGATTTCCATAGCTGGGAGACATTTTTGATGGCTCTCTAAGACAAGGGTAGAGAAGAAGTGGGCTGCTAAGCGCGAGGCAGCCGAAGCGAGACAGCGCAAACGTGCTGAGGAGCGCAAACGTGCTGAACAACGCAAACGTCAGCACGTTGAACAACGTCAGCACGGTGAACAGCGCCAGCACGGTGAACAACGCCAGCGTGGCGAAAAAGCGACAAAAGAGACGGACAAGCATTCTTCTGAAATTGAAGATGTGGCAAGAGATGTGGAGCCGGAGTCATTCATTGAGGAAGGGATCAGATCCACGACCACCTCCATGACCACCTCCATGACCACCTCCATGACCACCTCCACCTCGGCAAAAACTCCGCAGGTTATCATCCGGGTCGACAAAGGGAGTTCAACATCGCGAAGGAAAGTCCTGGGCTCCGTAGTTACGGCTTGAGAAAGTTCATGTTTCCCAACATCTTGGCCTCCAAATAAGTAGTATGTGTGTGACTATGTGTATCTGTATGTGACGAGACTCGTGCCATGCCGTCCTCTTCGGGTTTCCTCCCTGTTAAGGTTTCCTCTCTTTTAAGTAGGTTTCCTTCCTGTTATAAGGTTTCTTTCCTCTTAGGGTTTCCTTCCTGTTATAAGGTTTCCTTCCTCTTAGGGTTTCCTTCGTGTTTGTGAAAGGAACAAACCTGGATTTGATTATCATTCTCTAAATCAAATTGGAAGGCATTTCTGCGACAGTTAGTGACTCCGCTACTTTTAAGGCTTATACCTACTGTTAGATGTAGTTGTATGTAAGGACCCGGGCAGTAGTATCATGATCTAAAATGTAGGTTTCGCACTCTAATAGAATTATTGGACGCGGCTAGACTAGTATACGAATAGCTTTCTCGTCCGATAATTAATTAGTTGAGCTGCAGTAGCAATGTGTACTGACTGATGTTGTGGTACTAGATACACAATGCTATACAAGAGGCACCATGACATGACATGACTACGATGAAAGAGATGTCAATGTCAATTTCAATCTCATGGCATTGATTGAGTCGTCTTACCGATGATCAAGCACGGCCGCATATAGTTGAACTCTAAGAGGAGTGAAAAAAAAGTGCTTTTTCAAGTTGCTGCGGCAGCGCGTGCTTGGTCTGGACCCTTTGCCACGAAAGACACCGGCAGATGGACACTTCCGGGAATGCATGCTAGATGTACAAGGGAAGAACGGGAAGATTAAGGCTCCTACTGCTCTTGCATGTCCTTAACACCATCCCTGGCTGCATCTCCTTGACACCATCCGTCCCTGGCTCTTGTTCTACTTGAAGAAGGAGACAAATACTCCCCTGGGTCTTTTTCTAGTTGAAAGAGGAGGCACTGCTGTATTGGATAGCCTCAGAAGTACTTAGACATTAATAGCTGCAACACAAGAGGCATTAGTCACGACATGACAGGGATGCTCTCAAAGGGGAAGATCGATGCTCACGCGGTTTCTCTAAGAAGAAGTTTGCTTGGACAAACAGTGCCTGCACCGCCTTCAAAGAGAGGAATGGCGTGATGCTCGCCCTTGGAGAACTTGCGCACATGCTTCGGGACGATTTCACGGAAACGAATATT